CTGACCATTTACAAACCTTTACCAACAACTTACTGGCCACTTACCAACCATTACCATCAACTACTGTAACTGACCATTTACAAACCTTTACCAACTACTTACTGACCACTTTCCAACCATTACCAGTGACCTACTGACCATTTATCATCCATGACCAACRACTTATTGACCACTTACAGTACCAACCATGACCAACAACTTATTGACCACTTACCAACCATGACTAATAACTTACATGTATTGACCACTTACCAACCATGACTAACAACTTAATGACCACTTGCCAAACATGACCAACAACTCATTGACCACTTACCAACCATGACCAACAACTTATCGACCACTTACCAACCATGACCAACAACTTATTGACCACTTACCAACCATGACCAACAACTTATTGACCACTTACCAACCATGACCAACAACTTAATGACCAACCAACCATGACTAACAACTTATTGACCACTTACCAACCATGACCAACAACTTATTGACCACTTACCAACCATGACCAACAACTCATTGACCACTTACCAACCATGACTAATAACTTATTGACCACTTACCAACCATGACCAACAAATTATTGACCAACCAACCATGACTAACAACTTATTGACCACTTACCAACCATGACCAACAATTTATTGACCACTACCAACCATGACCAACAACTTATTGACCACTTACCAACCATAAACATTAACTTACTGACCACTAAGTAAGTAAGTAAGTAAACAGGGCTAACCATAAGTCTTATCAAATGCAACCATTACCAACAAATTGCAGTACTGACCACATAACAACTATGACCAACAACATACTGACAACRCCACCACTTACTTGTACCTATACCAAGAACAATATTTCTTTTTTATGATTTTCTTTATGGGTTTTATCAGCCAACAGAAGATACTCCAGAGAAAAAAGACTTGATTTCTGAGTCACCCATAAAAACAGTTGCTGGATTTGATAGGCTTAAAAAAGATGATGAACAGCCATTAAAAAAGGTATGCCAGTTTTGTATATGCTACACAACCGTTGATTGACACAACCCAATATCAACATCAGTATCAATAGAAAAAATGACTTCACTGCAAGATATGGGTATTCTACACAAAATCAGGGCTAACCATGAGTAAAAGAGAACTCGAAGCAGGGGTATTTTTGCAGGACATTTTCTGTTGATCAGGCATTATTTTTTTAAACCCTGCACCAGTGTTAGACATTTACACACATTTACTAATTATAATTTCGTTTTGTGTGTTTGTTTTACCAGAGAAAAGAAGAGTCACCAAAGAAGACTCCAAAAAAAGTATGTTGATAAATACATGTACCATAAAGTGTTATTATTTGTTGTTATTCAGATATTAGTAAAAATATGCAGGTGATTATAGAAAATCTCGCGTGCTGATTGGTCAAGAAACTCACACTATCACACGATAATCACTTTGAGCGAAAATCCAAAATGGCGGCCAGCCGCTTTGTTGCTGTTACCGGGAAAAAATGCCTTTTATCTTCTTTTTCTTCTTCTTTTGAAAGAATCACCTGTGTATTTATACTAAAACAATTATTTGCCTCAGGCTCATATTCCCCGATAATCACTTCACCTTCGGCGAATAATTGTTAAATGAATGCTATATTCCAAAATCAGTGTTGCTAGAGTAGGATACCATTATTTTGTCGGTAGGATGCTAGTAGGTCCATACTAGTAGGGTGTCCATAGGATATCYGTAGGATGTCTGTAGAGTATTGGTACAGTGTCAGTAGGATAATGGTAGGATGTCAGTAGCTTGTCAGTAGGATGTTGTTAGGTCCATGTTAGTAAGGTGTCTGTAGGATGCCTGTAGAGTATTGGTACAGTGTCAGTAGGATAATGGTAGGACGTCAGTAGCTTGTCAGTAGGATGTTGGTAGGTCCATGTTAGTAGGGTGTACCTAGGATACTTGTAGGATGTCTGTAGAGTATTGGTACGGTGTCAGTAGGATAATGGTAGGCAGTCAGTAG